AAAAAAAAAAAGTCCTGTTAACTACTGAGTCAACTCATCAATGAGCCCAATTTCTGAACAGCCATGGTTACATTACCAATCATTTCAGATATATACGATCTGAGTTCTGTGGTGATCGTTTCAATCAAAACCATCAGGAAAAAACAGACCCAAGACCTACTAACCAACTAGAAAATAACCTATAACATCTGTCATCTTGCCGTTAATTGAGGTATAACATGAAGTAGGACTTTGTAACATCAGTACCTATGCTAATAAAGTAGTACTTTGTTGCAGACAAAATGGAGTCTTACATTTATGTCACAAAATGGTAAAACTTTTACTTCTAGGACAAGCACACAAATGCACTCTGGAGGGAAACACACAAACAGCGCTCTTTGGTTTTATATGAATTAAACAGCTTTTGTGTATGGAAACAGTATCAAATAGCATTTTTGTGTCCTGTTGTTCATGTAGTTTGCTTTAAAGATTGTACAAACACAAGAAACTGCTTTGTCAAATTTCAAGTTACTTTCCATACCTGCTGCCTCACCCACAGAAACCCTTTTCTGCAGTTTAAGGCTACACAATCTTATGGCTAATCAACTGGCAACCACACCCACCATCCTCTCCAAAATTATAAGCGAAGATTACTGGACAGAAATCACTGTAAGAACTTCACACTCAAACAATTAAGCAAACAAGAGTCAAATTAAGTCTCTGTACACAATGTTTATGGAAGAGATAAAATAGCCTTTCCAAGTTTTGACAGTTACCTAAAATGTACATGTGTCTTAGGAATGGAGGGTATGGGACAGAATGTTTAAGGCCTTGCTATACTGATCAATTCGTTTTTGAATTCTGTGAATGTATTATTGACTGCAAAAAATACAATTAAAACATTGTATTTTTACAATACTTAACATGTTGCCATTACACTACTTAGTAGATATTTACCCATTTGTAGTGACTTGCTAAGAGTTTCAATTCAACAGTCTTTCCAAGTTCTGGAAATCATTACTCTAAGACATTAAAATTAATAATAGCTCAAGAAAATAAGACAACTTACAGACAAAGTATATGCAAATGACACATCTGAAAAAGGACTGTTGTCTAAAATATAGAAAAAACTCTTAAAACTCAACAGTTAAGAGGGGCACGTGGGTGGCTTAGTTGGTTGAGTGTCTTGACTCTTGATTTCAGCTTGGGTCATGGGATTGAGCTTTGTGTCGGGCTCTGTGCCGAGCGTGGAGCTTGCCTGAGAATACACACACACACACATCCATATATATAACATATATACGGATATATAAATGTTTATAAAACAGTAAGAAAACCTGATTAAAAAATGGGCCAAAGACCTTACCAAAGAAGATACACAGATGGCAAATAAGCACACAGAAAGATGCTCCAGTCATGTCATCAGAGAAACACAAATTAAAATGAGATACTAGTGCACACCTGTTAGAATGGCCAAAATCAGAACACTGACCAACACCAACTGTTGGTGAAGATGTGGGGCAAAAATCATTCACACGTTGCTGCTAGGAATGCAAAATGGTACAGCCACTTTGGAATTTTGGCGGTTTCTTACAAAACTAAACATTCTTACCATACCATCCAGCAATCGCACTTGGTGTTTACCCAGAGTTGAAAATTCACGTCCACACAAAATTCGCACACTGGTTTAAAGTGGCTTTATTTGGAATTGCCAAAACTTGGAAGCAACCAAGATTTCCTTTAGTAGGTGAATGGATAAACCATGGCACTTCCAGCCAATGGAATATTATTCAGCACCTATCAAGCCATGAAAGATGTGGAGGGAACTCGCGGTGTATCACTAAGTCAAAGAAGCCCATCTGAAAGGTTACATACTTTCATGTATTCCTACTACATGACATTCTGGAAAAGGCAAATTACAGAGACAGTAAAAAGTAGTTGCCAGGGGTTAGTTAGGGAGGGTGAGGAATAGGTAAATTTTTAGGGCAGCGAAAATGGTCCATATACTACAGTGATGGATACATGTCATCACACACTTGTCTAAACCTACACAATGTACACCACCCAGAGTGAACCGTAAACTACGGACTGGGAGGCGATCACGGCTCAACGTAGGTTTAACAGTTTTAACAAACATACCGTCCGGGTGGCAGAGGTGACTAGAGGCGGCTATGCCCATGTTGGGGGCTGGGGAGAAGGTATATGGGAAATCTCTGTACTTTCAATTTTGCTGTGAATCTAAAGCTGCTCTAAAAAGAGAGTCTTTAAAAATTTTTAGCAGGGCATACTATGTGTCAGCCACTATCACCGTCCTCGTTTACTTACAGACGAAGCCGGATTCCAGGGTCCATTACCTTCACCACCACGCCATACCACTCAAAAAAGGTCTCTGCTTGCAAATTCGCGCCGTGGTAAGTCCACCTCAGAGCAAACCTGAGGCACTAGTCTTACAGAAAAGGCCCTTCGAATAAATCTTATAAAAGGACCAGCCCACGGCCATACATTTAACTATCATGGTCTGTCCTCACAAGACATTTTTGGAGTGGGGGTGTACAGAGCCTATATAAAGAGAAACATGGTATGTTCTTCAGATGCTTAGGATGTCAGTTCCAAAGTCATTCCAAAGTCAAAGCCACTTAGTCTTGCCTGAAGAATATTCCGGCTTAAATGCAAGCCTAGCTAGAATTTAATCTTCTAGTTGTCTCACACTTACTCTTCTTCTCAATCAACTGATGCTCCTGACAAATCCTCAACCCAAATCTTTCCTAAATACTTCTCACAAAAAATTGTGGAAACATTACCACCATCTTGTGCTGCACAAAGTTACAGAACAACGAAGGGCCCATCACCTTGTCATCTAAGTCTTTATCCCCCAGATACCACTTTGATTTCAAAACCTTAAGATTTAAAATTCATCAAGCAAACATTGACAAAGGTAGCACTGAGAGAAGTCTTAAACTTTCAATAAAAATTGTTGGCCCCAGTACTGTACTTTTCACCTCAATTGTGATTCTTCAGTATCTTCATAGTTCAGGAGATGGTCTCATGATTTCCGCCACGTGAAGCACAAGCAGCAGCACCCAAAGAACCACGACAGACCAGTGAACGAGGGGATTTCCGTTGCAGACTCCATCACTGAAAAGTCATGGTTCTGCTTTTAGCTTCAGCTACCCCATGGGCCCAGCCATACATTAGAACCGAATCCGAAACAGAAACAAAACCATGCCCGTTTCTGTACACAAATGGTCGTGTCACCTTCTATAAAGCAAGAAAACGGGCAAGGGAGATAGGTCACAGTTGTGAAAAGTCCATTCCTTTCTCAAGTCCTAAGACTGTTACGATCCTAAAAGGTGCCTATTCATTTCTTCAAAAATAAGCTGCCCATTGTGTACCACACTTGATGTCTCAAAGTTCATCTCAAGGCTCTCACTTAAACATACCATGTTCGGGGCGGGGGGGGGGGGGGGGGGGGGGGGCGCAATTAAAAAAATTACACGATAGCCATGCAAAGTCTCCATATGCAACTACCAAGTTGGATATGAAACATTTTCTAACTATTCCTCTTTATGGTTTCTACCTGTGGCTTAAGAACCCAATGAACAAGTGGAAGTTTCCCTCTGTACATGGCTTTTATTATTTACATAATACAATATAGCATCGATGCTGAATAGCATGATTATGTGCAATACATAAATATGAACTATCTGTACACATCTGCAGATCTAACTCCGAACTAAGGTACATAAAAATCGAAAGCAAAACCGAATGCTTTAATTAAAGTAAAAACTAGGACTGAACACTGCAGTAAATCAGAAGTAGTGCCTCGTGTACATACTTAACTATTTACAGATGAAAACAGGCATTACCACAATACTAATCTAACTATGCTCATTTATATATAAAAAACACAAGTTTCATACATCACAAAAACCTTCCATTATGACACAGAAGTGATATTACCAGACAAGCATCAGTGAAGTATACTGCCTCTTCTAGTTGTTATTGTACAATGCTGTAGATAATGCAGCCCATGCAATACACCCAAGAACACTAGAGTCCTACACCCAAGTACAATTAATAGGATAACGCAGCCCTCTGCGAGTGGTGCTGGATACCACTAAGAAGTCTACTGCAGCCATGTTGGTTATGATTTTCCATGCAGAAGGTACAGTTACATTAAGAACTGAAGTCTTTAAAAAAGCTTTAAACATTCTTTCTTGAACCAAAACATTCAACAAAAGATGCACACGAAAAATGAACTTTTCAGATACCTTTGCAACTTAAAATTCAGATGCATGTTATTCAATAGAGCTGCGGCATGTAAAAACCAAATGTAGTTTTAATTTCTTCTTGTAGACAAATTAATCCTAGTGCAGTTCTGTGCTACACAACATTTTGAGCAATGAGAGTAATGCAGGCATCTTCTGGTGCAGGCCAGCACAGTAAGCTTCAAAGAGAGCTCAAGCCCCTGTTGGCTTGATGGCTTTACTCATGATAACCAGTTGCGATGTTTACCTTTCACAGAATGTCTTACTTGACAGCTTTTAGGAGACCAATGAGCCAGGCTTACATATGGCACCAAATACTGGTTTCACGGAAAGGTCTGATCCTCTTTATAGCTTTCCTCCTGCTTCCAAAGAACATGTTGTGGAAATTAACAGGGTGAAGTTGGACTATGGAAGAAGTAGACTGCCAGTCCTTTTCTGGTGTACCATTTTTTTAAAAAATACAGGCACATAACACTAGCCAAAGATTATACCTTGATTACATTCCCAAAAGGCAGATATGCTGCAAACATGCAGAGATTTCACGGATTATGTTTGGCACGTGGGAACTAAATTTTGTCCCTATCGTCTGTGTATTTCAATTTGCTGTGCAGATTTTCATCCAATTTTATTCAGGGGAGGGCATATACATTTTGTAGGGCTGTATCTATCCATTTCTGCCTGTAACAAACACCCAAACATCCTAAAATTTCAATTATAAGACAGACAAGTGTAAAGTAAAACTCTGGAGAACATCAAAGGAAAATGGCCATGCATCTGCTCTTTAATGTTTTCCTACGATATATTAAAATAAAAACAAAGTTTCAGTCTCTTCACAAGTAGTAATTTATATTCTCTGGATTTTTTCAGCCACAACAACTGGATTCTCTTTTCTGATTTTTGCTGCAGCTTCTGCTTTGTAATCATATGGACAGTTGTGCTTGTCAGAGTAACGGTGAAGTCCACAAAACAAATTTCCACATCGGCAGTCAAACCCTGTACACATAAGAGGAAGTAGAGTCACTTGGGAATTTGCAGTAATTAAAGGGGAAAAAAAAAGCCTCAGTCAGTGGAGAAAAAAGAACCAGATTTTCATGGTTCTCTGTAACATGAAATTGAGTCTGCCACTTGAAATTGTGAAACAGCTTTCAATCTCTTTTGACATAGTGAGAAATTCAAATAGCTCTCCCTCCATAAACGCCTGTGGATAGCACAGGGTAGAAATTACACAGGCTCTAAAGCCAGACTGACCTGGATGCAAATCCTCCTCCTACATATAACAGGATAACGTTTTTTCAAGTGAAAACTAGGGAAAAGAGAACCAGAGGGTTCTGAAATTTACAGGGAACAGTTAAGAAGTATTCTAATACTTTGTGCCTGGCTCAAAGATGGTGTTCACCGTTTGGGTCAACTACCTTCTCCTCAGGAGAACAAAGAAAAGACTCGAAAGCAATGAATTTTTATCAGTTCAGTAAAGCAGAGTAACTCACAAGGCCTGAAGGTAATAAAAGGTTCCAGAGGATTAGAGACACAAGTGCAAATCAAACCCAACTTCTCCCCACTATCCTGCCCTCTTTCTAGTCCACTCTGGAAACTTTCTGTTCCTGAAAGTTGGGCATTTTGTTGTAGGTGTTAGGACCAACCAGTCCCATAAGGGAGCTCCCTGTTAAAGCCTACCAACAAAATATACGTTGTCTTCTATGTTCTCTAATACCTGTAAGGCCAACTTTCTTTCTGCACATAAAACATCTGTTCTTCTTTGGTTTGGGCAACTCAGGAGCTTTTTCTTCACTTTGAGAAGTACTAGGCTGAGAAACGGATGGACTGGGCTGAGTGACAACTGAAAAACAAGGGTGAAAATGAGATAACTGTTAAGAGTTCACTGGCTGACAATTACTTAAGACACAAAAAGAAAACATTTAAGAGAAGCAGGAAGATTCTTAGTGAAAATATTCATGAAGCCTTTCTTAAAAACATGTGCTTTAAACAGAATCTTCTACTTCAGTATCAGAACTTTCAAATCTGACAGTTTCTTGCCAACCAACATATACTTGGCTTCTCTAAATTTTGTAAAATGATTACTCCACTCAAATTCCTTTAAACTGACTCTTAACAGGTAGTACTAGGGAATAAACTCCTAAGTTTTAAAGACCTGGGAGATGCTGGTCACATGCCCAGTTTTTCCAAATTGCAATTGCCTAAATGCAAACTTCTTAATTAGGGCAGTTTACATTCATTATTACTCAGTACATAAAGTTGCCAACCGTCAAAAAATTCATTTTGGTTTTACACTGATAGACAAAAGACTGAATACATAAATTTAGCAATTTCAGTAAGTAAAACCCAAATCGTTAAGCCCTAATTAACTTCAGATCCTAAAATTTCACAATTATTTTGCCATTTTAACACGGGCTTTATATGGTCACATGCAGAAAATCTGAATAGTTCTTAAACTTTTTGAAAGATCAGCAAACAGTCTTTAGGACAATATAAGTACTTGTGAAGTTTTGACTATTAAGGATTCCACAGGCAAATCAAGAATTTTTAAAGCACAGCTTTTATTTGCTTTGCAGTACTTCTCTAAAATGGGTACAGAATTTAGACAATGAGAGATAATGATCTCCTTTTAAGAAGTCCGTGTTTCTCCTTAAAGTTTTAGTTCACATGACATCAATAAAATTTGTCAACATGAAAATTGCAGTTCAGCACATTAGAGCTCACCATTACCACTAGTTACTTAAAACAAAAATACCAAATTAGTTCTGCTTTTATAGAATTCAATTAGACCAGAAGCACAGAGTTTTAATATTAATCCAAACCCCAAGAATAGCAAATTATTGTATGCAATGCTAAGATTACTGCCTAAATAGGCCAGCACCAATGCTATAAGCATAAATCCAAACTCTAGAGCAAGCTGATAGGTTTCATGACAGCTTACTCTAAAATTCTCTGTAAATACATAACTCATTTGCATTAGTAATATATTTAGTCAGACTAATAGCCTATTATACACTAACAGAATAACACTCTACCTACTACTCATTCCTAATAATCTACTATGACAGCCTAATAGTTTTTCCTGATGCTATGATGGTAAAGAAAAATGTACGGGAACAGTTTGGGGGAGGGGTATGTGTGACAGCCATTTCCTTGGCTACATCAGAAGACTGAATAGTGGTTCCTGGGACATACAGGGACAAATGGGAGTTAAGAAGGGGGAAACGACTCAGTAAAGGCAAAGAGGAACAAACTACAGAACCTATTAAGAAATAATAAATGCAGAGACTAGGTACAGATCTAAACCAAAAGAGTACCGTTCCCAGGTCAGAGTAATTTTGTTTATAAAACCCCACGAACACCTAATTTGGCCGGCTTTTTCAGAAAAATTGAACTCCTTTGAAAATACCAAATATGGATTCACCTGCTGAACTGCAGAGTTTTTACTTAACTTTATAAATTAAGATTGCTATAGTTCACATAAGCTTTGCTATGTGATGTTAGCAAAAGCAAGCCTCCAAAGCAGATCACATACCCACAGATGTTATTTCCTCACAATAAAGTTTTATATTGTGTTCAGTCAACACTGTACCAGGAGACAATGAACTGAGTAAATGAATGATGTGCCCTATAGAGTACAGAGCTATCTGTTTTAGGGCCCAGCACAGGTAATTCAAACAAGTCCATCTCTCAATGTGACAGCACTTCTGACTATGCTCTACAGAAGCAGAGACTCAAAGGCACTCAGTGAAAAAAAATGCCTTTCCATATTGAGTTTTGAACTCTTGCTTTTTCAACTCCTAGACTTTTCAACTTGAAAGCTTCTTTCAGTGTTCAGTATGTTGTCTTAAATATTTTCTACAACACTGAGGATACCAAGACTGAATATTGCTTTTGATTATAAAACTTTCTTCATGGCTTTGAAATTTAATCTAATTTCTTCTGTTTATGAGTAACACTTTCTTTAGTGATTTAGAGATCTTTGAAATATAATGGCAAACGACCTTTTAAGTTCATTACATTCTTAATATTTCCAGTTCCCAGATTATAAATTTATGGTGTGAGTTTAAGGAGAAGAAAGAAGAGTAAAGAGTGACTATTTTACACCCAAGGGACTTGAGAGAGAGTGGTTCTTCCTTGGCCTAGATTTTACAGCTCTCTCTCCAATTTAACCTTCAATGGGAAGGAACTCCTCTCCCACCAACTCTTTCTTGTACTACCAAATCCAGAACGGAACTAGTATTAAACAAAAAGCATACCTGGCTCTGACACCTCTGTTTTCGGGGTAGTTATTTTGTCCTCTCTTGAAATGCTCATTTCTGTCATTTGCTGAGTTACAGGCAAGGCAGCCACAGGCACATTTCTATTTGAGTTCAAGCAAACATTTTTAAAGATGTTAAGGGTACTTCTTTGTGAGACAGTAAGTTGTCAGTTCAACTTTAAAGTACGTACTATTTCCAACATGATCAAATGGAACTAAATAATCTAAAAACTTAAAAGAATATTGGATGCCCAGCACACATGGTTGAGAATAAAGAAAGCGATCTGATAAATGGCTCATCAACTCAAGGCTGCGTATGTGTATGGGTTACGATGTCCTATTATAGCCAACTGGAAACTTTTAGCTGTGCCTGTAACTTAAGGGCAAAAGGGGCAGCTTTGCCAAAATGTCTTGTGTAGCATTACAACACAGTCTGCAGAGCCATACTCTACAATCACTTAACCTCAATTATAACACAAGCACAGCATTCTCAATACAGCATCTTTGAGAGTACCACGGAGTGTTATGATATACGTCTTTATTCAGTGACCTGTAAGACCATGTAGTAAAAGATCCCAGAATCCCAGACTGTGTAACACAAGCAAAGCCAAGGGCATCGGATCCATTAACATCCTTAGTATATATAGACATTCATAATTAGAATGGTATGGGGAGCACCCATGTATTTCCTTGTTGTATTATGATAAAAAGCCTGAAGTGGTCAATCTTACCTTGATTTTTCAGATGTGCTGCCAGCAGCACCTTCACAGTTGTTTAAACTAGTGTCTGCTCTCTGTACAGATGCAGAATCTGAGGTAGGACTGTTGGAACCACTAGCTGTTCCTATTTAAAAAAAGGATTTGTAAGAAACAGCAAGACTACCAACACTCAGTAGCAAGACTCTTAATAAGTAACAAATACTTGCATTTAATTAGGTTAGTGATTTAAGCACTTTCACTGTACTGCTGAATCCTACAATTAAGTGAGTATCCAAACAAAAACATGTATGGAAAAGTCACATCCAGTGAACATAAGTATGAAACAAAACCTCAAAAAGGAAAATAAAAAAGCTAGAAGATGCTTGTAGATGGTCATTCATTCCTGATGTTGTCATGCCAAGGACGTGGGCTGGGCTGCTGCTTTAATTTCAAGCTTTTCTCAGGAATTCTCTTCTTGGGCTCTCAGCATTGATTCTCATAAGTCTTAGGCCCCAATTCTTGGTTCTATATTTTCTGTCCACCAGTTCTTCAAATGGGTTTTTCCTTGGAAACTTACCCATTGGGCTCATTCTGCCACTATTTTGCTGCCTCTGAAGATGTTCTTTGTAGCAAACGGAACACATTCCATTTGTCCTAGGATTCCCATAAAAGCCACATCCTGTACTACACAGCATGGGCCCTGGGGTCTGGTTAGTCTCCTGAGCCATATTTTTCTGCTATAAACAAAACAAAAACAAAATTTTAGAAATTAGCATGTCACCAAATAAAATCACTAAATTAGTATGACAGCCACCAGCATACCTTTGTTATTTCTAAACACCAAGTCTATTTCTAACAAAGGCCCTAATTATGTTAATCATTAAAAAGAGTAGGACAAGAAAACTATGAATATTTTGTTGCCTTTATAAAACAAAGGGCATTAAAGAAATTGTCTTTTTAATTTGATAAACAATGAACTATAGGAACTTCACATTCTTTAGGACAAAAAAAATGCTATCATTAAACGTTAAAATGCATTACTCCACCTATCACTATGATCTTTGTTTCAATTTCTGAAAAGGTCACTCTGCCAGATGTCAGAATTACATTTCAATCAGTTTGGACAATTGTCATCTTAAAGTCACTTTCTGATTTCTGCACTACAGGCAGACCATATCAAATGAGATTTTTACTTCTCTGGCTAAAAATATATAAAATGGAACTTGCCAATGAAAAAAAAAATCTACAATAATCACAATTAAGTACCAACTCTTGATATGTACTAGTGGTTCTTTAAGCTGGCTGTACACTGGATGTAGCTATAAAGCTTTCTTAAAATATCTTATAAGATGATGGGCCTCACTAGTAATTCAACAATTCTGCTATGGGACAGAATTTTAAAAACTTTTAAAAACGCAACACCTTTACAGAACACTGAAGAGAGCTGACAGATCATCTGGCCTTTCCTGCTGCCTTGGCACTAACAAGTGAAGCTCTTTAAGAATTTAGGGGTCAGCTGCTCATGCAATTCCTTTTAAGTTCTGCATTTGAGGTGTGAAATCTGGGTTTGAATACTTAAAGGCAGTGCCTAGTAACTTGCAAAAGCACAAATTATCAGCTATAGATTTCTCCAGCCAAAGGCTCTATTAAAGCTTTTCACGAGTGCTTGCCTTCCTCACGTCAGAAAATGAAACCTTTGAAAGCTCAATTTCAATATGGCAAAGCCAAGCAATATGAACACACAACCTTCAGTAGTCATTAATATTTAATGCTAGGTTACCAGAAAGAACTTCGTACAGCTAGCCTACCTTGCTTTTCCAGAAGCCTTGTTAAAATTAGAACAGATATAGTAACGTTACGCTAAATTTAGTAAATTTTTCTGAGTTTTAAGTGAAAACACACATTAAGAAAAATTTAAACTGTAGAAAGTTTCCATGTCACCTTAAAATATGTATGTACGTACAAAAACATATTTGAGAGCATTTTATTAAAGGGAGATTGTCTGCTATAACTTGTGGTCATGGTCATTTAAATGTGTCTTAACACTGATAACGGAAGTTAAGTTACTTATTTGTTAAGTTATAAACATTTCAGATTAAGTGCAGGAAAGTCCTTCATTCAAGCTAGAGCTGGTCTAGAATTTCATATGGCTTTTTTCCAACTAACACACACTAGAATACACTCTTTAGTGAGTTACTAAAAACAATGTTTTAGCAAGTTATTTAATACTTTTTACCAAAATTACAAGAAGGGGAGAAGAGGGCTAACCAAATTTGACCTGGCCAGAATCTTGCCACTATTTCCTCCACAGTTAAATGATAGTACTCTTTCCTTTCCTTAGCAAAAAGAAATATCTGAAGCTTGAAACTACTTCAAGCCAATCAAGCTTATGTGGAGGGTGTTGGAGAACCACAGCTTACTTCAAACAATACTACTAATTTAGTTGACATGGTCTCTTTAAATAGTAAGTGGAATTTAGCTGACTCATTTTGGAGCACGGTAGTGTAAACATTTCAACATCACTTAGGTTTATTAATAAACATTTTCAGCTGGGCTTAAAAAATTTTTAATATGTGCAAAAATGCTTCAAATAATAAATTATGTCTTTACTTGCACGCCCCCCCACCCCACATAGTATGTGGGAATCTGCTCTATGCAAAAAGTTCATTCCTTGAAGCCAGCTTAAGAATTATGCTAGCTCACAGTTGCTATACTAACTTCCAGTGGCTCATCTGACAGTGGCTTTATAATGGCGAACAGGCCCAAATTTAAGCATCAACCTTAAAGTTAAGCATCAACCTTAGTTAATTCAATTCTTTAAAATCTTTTACATAAAAAAAGGAGGGGGAAAGGAATCTCAATGATTTTACCCACTTCGACTTGCAACTTGCAAAGTATTCCACCTTCCCTTCTTCAGAAAACACAACTACTTTCAATTCACTATAAATAGCCTGCAACTGAGACACAAGAGACACCAGGACATTAGTCTTCCACGTAGCTTCCCATCTTGTAGATTCCCCCCCCCCCCAGAAAGCGAGCTTTTAAACGCCGTCACATGTGCAAAGCTTGCCTTAATATTTCTCAGAAGCTTAGATCACATGGGCGGGAGCTTCAGCCTGTCACAAGGCTGCAATGTGACAGGCTGAGCTGGATGGAGGCTCTCACATAAAGCCTAGTCAACAGGGGCCTCTGAAATCAGCTTCTATTTATATCTTAGAGCCTGCCAACTCCTACACAACCCCAAGAACTAAGGATGCTGCGTTTATAGATCTAATATAATAAGGAAACAAAACAAAAAGATGCCATTAAGGCTGCTGCTTTTTTTTTTTTTTTTTTGGTAATGTAGACAGGGCTAGTGAACAATCTCAAATTCAACAAAAAGATGCATCATTAATCACTCGTGAAGCCAAAATACTGGGGTTGTTTAAACCAAGTAATAGTACAGAGAGCACCGAGGCAGAAAGAATCCTCATGTTTAAATCCTCCTGCTTAGCAGCAATTTGGGGCGGAGAGGTTTGCCATTATGCCAGTTTCCTCTGCTTATAAGGCAACATTTCAGAAAAATACAATACCATTACTATTTAGTACCTTTAAAGTTTTGTTGTTAGAAACTGCAGCCTGTGCCAGTCGCATCAAGAATAGGAAAATGTTTATTTTTATAGTTTGAATAGCTGAAATGTATATTCTTAGTTTGTGGCTTCCCCTAACTTCTAGTTTAAAGAAAACTGAACCTGCATGTAGCAGAAAACCTCCAGCCTCAAATATGAATAATAATTTAAAAAACGACATTTTACACCTATGGAATTTAGTTTTCAGGTGCACATGTTAGAAGATGTTAAAGCCTACTCACCCTGAGTTGAGACCTGAGTTCTAGTATCTAATCTACTTCTAACTAAGCCAGTGACCTTGGGCAAGTCCCATCACTGATTCCGTTCTCTTTCGCCGAGATTACTGCATTTTAGCGTCTCCTTTTCCAGGCTTAACATCTGCCTCGAGACAGAAAATAGGGGAGAAGTACAGTAAATTCTTTGTTGGGAAACATTAAAAAAAAAAAAAAAAACTTGTAAGATAAATTGCAATATTCTCACCATGAAGTTCTGAAATTTCTACTTTAAAAAAAAAATAAGGAATGAAATTTTATTTTTATTTTTAAGTCTGTAAAATGACCTGAACTCAGGTTCATAGGGGCTCTGTGACCCATACGCTACTTTACCTCATGTCCTTAGACTAGATTCTTAGGAGGCATGCAACAAATAAACACGGGCCTTCCTGAAAACACTGCCCACGCGCGTGGAGCGAGCAAGAACGCATGTTCACCAGCCTAAATGCACGAAATGGGAGAAAGAGAGCTTCCTTCCAAGGCGAGCGGGATCTATGACACAAACGCAGCGATTTTGGCAAAACTAAAACACGACGACGGAGGAGTCCCCCCCCCACCCACGTTCCAGCGGCCTGAACAAGTCCGGGTCCCACCGGGCCCCCCATCCCCTCCCTCCCCCCCCAGGCCCCTCCCGAAGCCGAGGCCTTGCTCACAGCAGGCCTTCTCCAAAATCACTGAGTCATGCAGAACAGCAGCTCCACAGGCTGCTGTCTTCGTGCCGACCGACCTCTCGACTGGCTCCTCCGAGGTGGCGGCGGCGACCCGGGGCGGCTGGGAGGAGGGGGAGGGTGGCGATAGGGGCCGGGCGCGGGCTGCCGCCGCCACGGCCCCTTTGTCTCCGGGTCCGGCCGCGACGCGCCGCGCCGAAGGAGGCCTGACGGACGGGAGGTCTGGAACCCACACGCCGGGCATTGTTCTCCGGGCCGTGCCGGTGCAGGCGGGCCGGGGGCGCGGGGCGCCGGACCCCGGGCCACGACGACCGGATGACGCCTCCGTCTTTGTGCTTCCTGAGCTGAGGGAAAATTTCTCCCGAGGCCGCCAGCTGCGGCCCGTCGAGTCTGCTGACCCCACTGCAGCCCCCCGGCCTGGCAGGCCGGGCGCCTCCCCAGCTCCGCACGCACCACCACCTGCGGGGGGCAGGTGAGGGCAGAGCTGCCGCGCGCGACGCCGGCGCGGTGAGGCCGGGCCCAGGCCTCCGGGAGGGGCGAGCCGGGCGCCCGGAGCGGCCGCCTCGGGCCGGGAGCGGGTCGGAAGCGGAGGTGGCGCTGCCGCCGCCGCGGGGTCCTCCTTTGTTCCTGCAGCGGCACTGAGCGTGGCCGGGACACGCCGGAGCCCGGGAAGTGGGAGGAGGGAAGCGAGGGGGGGGCAGAGAAGGAGGCGGAGGGAGGACCGGAGGCCGCGGCGGCTAACGCTGCTCGCGGCACTCGCCCGTCGTCACCTCACGCCTCCACCGGCGGCGGGCTGGGCCGACTCCGAGGGCGACCGGGACGCGAGCAGGGAGGCCTGGGCGCCGCGAGGGCCCGCCGGCGGTGCTCTCCGTCGCCTCAGCTACGGCCGGGAAGTTGCGCGGCTGCCGGGAAGCGAGCGAGCCCCAAGTCCAGATGCACACAGGTCCGCGCTCCGGACGACTGACGCTCTCTCTCCGCCCGGCGATCGGGCAGCGAGGGAAAGAGGGAGGAGGGGCGGGGTCTGTGCGTCAGCGAAAACCCCGACGGCGGCGGCGGCGGGGAGCGCGGTGACGTCGTGAGCCCGACGCCCCGCCCCCTCGGGCCCTGTTCCCGAGTCCAGGAGGCGGGGTCAAGTCCGGCCCTGCTGCCGTCGCGCGGAGCCGAGTCACTGGCGCGGCTGTCGGCCCCAGGGTGGAGCTGGAAGGAGCGAGTCCTGTGGAGAATACGTTTCTATTTTTAACCCGATTGTCCGCCCTCAGCCTTCCTCCTTCCGATTTTCTCGCTCAAGCCCGCTTCTCGCCATCAGAGTTCTCACGCTTTGTCTCAAGCCCTTGGCAGACATTTCCCTTTCCTCCTTACTCCCCTAACGGTCGCTCCCCACGTCGCCCAGGAGTTAGTGAGAAGGATTCGCTTCGAGAAAAGGAAACTAACTTCTCGCCTGTTTAAGAAGCCTACCCTGACCCGTTCCCCCCTAACCCCTTTCGGTTCTAAAGTCCAGCTAGAACGTGGCCCGGGCGCCGCCAGGAAGCAGCGGCGCTCGCTCGCCCCAAGGTCACGGGTGGTTGTGCAGAGTCGGGAAACGCTCGGCCGACTGGCTGCCAGTCCGGCCCCCGCGGTCCTGGCGTCGCTGTTCGGAACAAACTGTTTTGGCCAGCCTGTAAAATCCCTGGAAATCGACTATTCCAGTAAGGCGTCGTGAACTAGGAAAGCACCAAATGTTCTGCTCAAGATGTGGAGTTAAGGGACAAAAACACGCCAGACCTGAGGCGGGAGAGACCAGAAAGAGGAGACGTTGCAGGGGGGAAGTTCGACAGGAGGGGGGTATTAGGCAGTTCAGAAGTGAGGCACAGGGCCTGACCATTTAGCAGAGGCGAGTGAACTCAAAACACAGAACCTTTCCAAAGACCCAACAAAAATATCCCGCTTGCAGCTGACCTCTCCAAGTGACTTCGGTTGAATTCAAAAGAACAAAATTACTAAGACAGCAAGTACTTCTGACATTTTGTAGTAAACAGTGGCCTTTACTGAATAAACAGAAACGAGGTTTAGGGCTTAGGTGAATGGAGTGAAAGGTCCCTTCAGTGTTTCCATACTTGCTCTTCGGAGAAACCACCTGGGGTGATTATTTAAAAGATTCCTAGGCCTTTATCCCCTGGAGCGGGAGCTCAGTAGTTCTCCAGATGATTCTTTGTGATTTTGTGTAGTTTGGGGGAACCCTGTCCTGGTGCCCTGCGCCAAAATTTCCAAGTCAAACATTTCTGTGCCCCAGAAAGCAGAATACACAAAACATAACTGAACATTCCCTTCACGATTTTAGGGTTATTGCTGTGGTCAATTCGTATGTTAGAGATGTAAGTAGTTTCAGTCACTGGAACAGTGACCATTGGACTTTATTTCCTTGAATGAGTAAATAAATTAGTAAAAACCCAGCAGCTACCATTTACAGACTTTTTGGTGCTGAGTTTTTTCCATTTAGGGTCTCATTCAATCTTCAGGGCAAGTCACTGAGATAAGGTACTATTATATCCATGTTTCCAGGAAAGGTTACAATGACCAAAAGGAGTAAGTGACCTGCTTGAAGAGCTGAAGGACAAGGGAAGCCAAAGAGGTAATTTTTTTACTGAGGACAAAAATAACTTAGAGATTCCCCCTACCCCACCCCACCCCGAATTTTAGTTACTAAAAAGTGAAAGAAGAGAATTCCTGAAGAAGCATATTTGAAACACACACACACACACACACACACACACACACACACACACACACACACTTAAACCAAAGAGCAATAAGGTGAGCTGGTTATTTAATAATGTATTGCATCATATATGTTATGTAGCCCCTTCTGATCATTCATCCTCTCAACCAACCATTTACAATTTTCTCTGTGAGACTGTTTCAACCAAGAATGTGGCTGGTATTGAACCTAATTTTAGCAAGATTCCCTTCCAGCAACTACCTTAGTTGTTCTCAAAGTTGTGATCCCTAGACCACAGCAACACCTGGGCACCCGAGAGAAGTACAAATTCTCAGGCCCTCCCACTAGAGCTATGGAATCCCATACTCTGTGGGTTTGTCTAGCTATCTGTGTGGTAAGTCCTACATGTGATTCTGATGCTCACTCAAGTTTAAGAACCACTGACTTACCCCAACCACGCTATCAGGTGCTTTTAGATCCTCCTACCGTGTGAACAGAAAGGATTGAAAAAAATTTTTTTTTTCTCCTGTTACTGGTATAACACATTAGGGGATGTGGTTCGAAGGAGCTTTGTTGTTATTCTAAATTTTCAGTTGGACTCTAAAGACAAACTGTAAAACTCAAAATATTCAATAGAATGCTCTTAGTATAAGTATGCAAAAAGGCTGTCACTCTGTGATCATCTGAGAAGACTGAAACCAGCATCTGGAAACAAGATATCGGGGAGAGTGGGGTGTGC